ACCACTTTCAAGAACTAAGATCCCTGAAGAGGCTTGGGTGGATATTGCAGTTGACTTTTTCCATGCGGGACCATTAGGAGAGCTACTTGTAGCAGTTGATTATTACAGCCGTTATGCAGTGACTAGAAGAATGAATGGCACAGATGCTGATAAGACGATTAAGTGTTTAGAGGAGATTTTTCGTGTATTCGGAAGACCATCTTCTTTAAGATGCGATAATGGACCACCATATTCAAGCAATAAATTTACTGAATATTGTAAATCCCAAGCGATTGAATTGATCAAAATTCCCCCACATCAACCTCAATGTAATGGTTTAGTCGAACGTTTTAATAAAAATTTAAAACGAATTTTGCAAATTGGCAATGCTATGAAAGAAAAATTAGCTGAAACATTAGAGGACTTCGTCGAGATTTATAACAAGCGGCCATGTTCGGTAACTAATCTTTCACCATTTGAAATGATGTTCAAAAGAAAAGCTCGTCATTTGTTACCTTTGGGATTAATTGATAACTATTGGACAGAAGCGGAGGCAAGAGAGAAAGATGCAGTAGAAAAGCTAAAAGGAAAATTGTATGCAGATAGAAAAAGAATGGCTACGGAATCTGAAATAAAGGTGGGAGATCACGTAATGATTAAGGACGTAAGAGTAGGAACTAAGCTGCAATGCCGATTTGTAAATAAAAAGTATGAAGTAATTGACAGAAAATTTGCTGTATTGACATTAAAAGATGCAGAGGGAGGTGAATGCAAGAGACACGTTGATCATGCGAGAATATGGCCAGATAATGAAAAGGAGCAAATAACGAAGGATGGAAGCTTGGAAATCGAGGAAACTATTCAGAAGAAAAAGAGATGTATCCAAAAACCTACTCGCTATTTATAGAGAAATAAAGGATTTTGAAGGGTTTTTTTTTTATATTCATTTAATTTTAAATTTTAAATAACTTTTATATTAATCTAATTTTTTTTATTTTTTTTTAGCTTAGGGTAGGATGTAGGGGTTTGATACTACACAAATGAATAACGGCTATCGACAATTTATATATTGGTTATGTAAGAATAATCTAAGAGAGGAAGATAAACAAACAGAATAATAAAATATAGTTTAGTAAAGAATAATCACTGTTTAATTGGATAAAGACTCTATAGATGCTATCTTAATTACTTTTTTATTTATTTATATATAATTTTTTGGTTTTTTTTAAATACTTTTTCAACCATAACTTTATTTCTTAACATACTAATTAGCTCATGTTGTAATCCAAAAAAAATTTCTACTTGCATTTGATTTAAAACCGAATAGGTTAATATCAAACAATTTTCAATTTGTTCCGCCATGATCACACTAAATTTAATAAAAGGATTATATTATTATTGACAAGAATCTAAATGCAATTGCATTTGTTAAAAGTTTTTTCATTAATGCTTAATTTTTATTATTATAGTCACACCGTTTTCTATAACCTTTTAACTTACATCTTTAGCAACATTTATTTTCTATTTTTGTTTATGTTCACATTTTTCAAAGGAAACATGGATTAAAACATCTACCTTGTAACATATAAAGTATAACTAATTAATTAAGGAATAAATGACCGTATAAGTACCAAAAAAATATATAATTTTTTTTGGGAAAAAAAGCAGAAAAATGCTGTTTTTTAAATTTTTTTACATATTTGGGATTCCCGGGATTTCCCGGGAAATCCCGAAAAATTTCAATCCCGATCCCGATCCCGAAAATTTGTCGGGACCGGGATTTCGAGAAAGCATAGGAATTTGCTTAATATTAACAAAATGACGATTTGATGAGTCACGAGACAAGGAAATTAGACCAAAAATTTTAAAAGTGACCACAATTGATGGCAAATCCGTTAAATTTAAAGACTTCTTGGGTTGTGACTGAAACTTATCCAGGAAACATTTAACCCTGCTTTATTCAACCTTTCTTCAACTATTTGTCAGCCAGTCAATCTGCATGACCAACGATAAATTTTAATTATCCAATTTTACCACGTTTTTAAGCACCAACTCAGTACGAAACGGTTAAAAAAATGCCTCGAAAAGGATACAAGTAATTAATTTAAATTAGTTGTGAAAGCAAAATTGTTTTGTTAATGGTTAAAGCAGGAAGAAGTAAAATAAAAAACATTTCAATAAATTTCCCACATTTTCTAATTTTTTGCTAATTAAAATGATAAAGGAAGAAGGAGGAAAGGCCAAAAAAATTATTTATGGTGATTAAAGATCCGCATTATGATTTGGGGGTTGCTCATTTGTTATGTATCCTGAAAAATGAGCCTTTTTGTTCTCCTTATTAACAATATTCTGTATTAATTTGTCATAAGTTACGTCATAGCTGCTGAGTGACATTTGACTGCCATATAATGAATTTGTTTAAATTTTTTCACAGCAGTTAAAAATGCAAACATTCGCAATAAAGGTGCCTAGCTGTATAGATTTTGCCTACTGTGGACATAGGTGATAGTCTTTGCATGTGTATCCACATCCTGGACAAATTTTGTAAATTGATTTTTCGAAAATTCACAAAAATGACACCAAAGTCTTCGAAAATATCTTTAAAGAGCTATTCCAAGTTTAATCTCATTTATTTCCCATTCAAGACAATCAAGCACTCACACATTCATTCCAAAGACTAATTTTCTTTACATGTGAGTTTAAGGACAAAAGGAACTAAAATTTATTGCTTAGGAATTTCACTTACATGAAAATATGCTTGACTTTCTAAGGACATCCACAAATGGAGCAAAAATGTACTTTCAAAGTGTAATAAACGATCGGTGACTTTAATTGAAATTAATACTCACTGCTGCCTTTTGTTTGTCTGATATTGAAATACTTTTTTTACGTGCTGATAATTAATGGTTAACCATTTGTGGGGATTTACAGCAGAAATTACCTTAAAAAACAACTAAGTAATTAATTAATGCCTAACTCAGTCGTATGTACATAGGAATAAATAATTAATGAATCAAGATATGTTGATTATTATTTTTTCACTGTATTGTGTACACCTCATTTCTGTGGCAGTCTAAAGCATTTTATATGCTGAATTTTCCAACAAAAGAATGTTAGAGCAAAAAAGGTGTGCCTTGTTGAGCATTGTAATTTGAGATTATTTTGTCTCATAATTAATGAACTCTGAATTAGTTTAATATTGTGAGAAAAAACGTGACCATTTTGCAGCATTTTCTATTTTATGAAGTTCGTAGCTCTTATGGGGAAATGCTATGAAGGTAAATATTTGAGCATGAAGTGCTTTTTAATGGAAATTGAAAGCTCTGCTGGTCATAGAAGTTTTATTTGTAAATTCAACTCATTGTTTAATATTTTATTTAAAAATGCTGAGTTAAATGTTGACTGCCGGGGCATGTTTCAGAGAAATCATTTTGACTCGGCACTATGAGGAGGTGTAGTGATAAATGAAACAGACCCTAGATATCCATACCCGAATAGCACAAGTCGGTTAATCGAATAGAAAACCAGCGACAAGCCGGCATGACTCTAGCATGGTGCTAGCTTCAATTTAAATCTAGCACCATGCCAGATTCACACCGGCTTGGTACCGGATTTTTGATCGATTAACTTGTGCCATTCGGGAAAGTAACATCAATTTATTAGGATAGATACAAAATAAAAACTTAATAATTATTATTTGTGAGATTTAAAAAAATGAGCCTTGGAGTGGACCTTACTCATACTAGAGTACCTAATTTGACATCATTTTTTGTATTTTTTCCAACTTAAGTTTATGTTTTTGTACAAAATTCAATTATAACTAAAACAAACAATTGAAAAACTTGAAATTCAACAACAATTAATTAAAAAGTTTTTTTCTTCTTATTTTTCTTTATCATCTTTCAACTTGGACTGAATGTCTGGCTTGATAGTTTTTTCTACAATATTTTTATTTTTCTATTATTTTCTTTTAATTTTTTTTTTTCATAAAGTTTCGTTTGGCACTTCACAATCACGTTTTTGCATTCAAAATTACGCGATGCGTTAGTTCAAACGCAAATTTTTTTATTTTATTTTTCTTGTATGTTTTTAATCACAATTCTGATACTTCTTTTATTATTTTAATTCTTTTTATTCTGTTGGGGTTCAAATTAATTATTTTTTCATTTTTCATTTCTCTCTTATTCTATTTTTTTTTGTCTATTTTAAAGAATTTTGAAATGAATTGATTGAATTTTTCTTACTTGAGAGATTTTCCTCATTATTCTTCTTATACTTAATGATTCTTTCTTTTAAATCTTATTCATATTCATTTAAATAATGTAATGTGAATGGAAATTAACTAGAGAATTGAGGAAATGAAGGAATTGAAAGTGATATCTTAATGATATTGGAATTCCTTGAGATGATTTTGTCGGGATATTTGGAATGTTTGTTAAGTTAATGTGAATTTTGGATGAATTCAATTTTTGTTTACTCCTTAAATCCTCTTCGAGGAGTTCTAAGATAGTTCATGAATTATAATTAATTTGCAAGGTCAATAAAGTAAGGAAATAGAGTTTAGCTATAGAATCTAAGAGGTTGCAATACTAGATTGTTATAACTATATCGTTATTTAAGTAAGTTCATCAAAATATTAATTTAATGGGATTCGAACTTTAATCCTTTTATTTTTGATTACACATTTATATCACTAAGCTGTTTAAATGTTAGCAGAATGTCAATTAGAACTGAAAGTATTCAAAGCTAGTTTCTTTTGTTTGATCTATTGATTTTAATTTGTCAAGAAACCTAGTTACTTCAAAGAAGCAACATAAAAACAATAACAAACCTCTCAAAATTCCTGACAAAATCATCCCAAAGAAAATCAGTGAAATATAAAAGAGCTTTTCAAAAGAACTCGAAAAAGCTCATTTGTCTTACAATCTAAAATTTTAAATCTTATTCGAGTGAATTTTAATGTGAATTTTTCTACAATTTATCTTATCAGGGAAAAGATTTTTTTTCGTTTATATTGTCAGTTTATTGATTATCAAGAAAAGATGAAAATTTTATGTCGCAATCTCGGAAAAAAATTCATGGAATTTTTCTAGCTTCATCTTTTACAACTGTCAAGAGACTTTTGTCTTTTTTCATCCACGTTCAATTAATCTATTAGTATTCTATATCATAGAAATTTCGAGATAGAGAAAAATGGAGAGTCTTTTGGTGATTTATTAGCTTTTTGTCATCTTTAACCTTTTTTTGTCGTCTACTTATGTCCTATATGTAAATATACTTTCTTATTACTTATAGAGCCGATTATATAACATATTTATATTCAAGGGGTGGTAACTCTTTAACTTTTTTTTGATCAATTTCAGGTCATTTTAAACTATTCAAGTCAAAATTAAGGAAGTCAAGCTGAGAGTTTTAACTAAATTGAGTCATCTACTGACAGCTATGCTGACTTGAAGCTTGTTCAGCTAGGCTGATGGAGAAATTTTTACTATCACAGATCAAAACATGACTAAATAGTTGCTACCCCCTTTAGAGCCATCCTCAAATGACGTCCATTCATGACACCCCTTGAATATATTTTTACAATTTTTCAATAGATTTATCCTCGATTGACGTCATATGAGAACGACTACTTACAAGAATCTTCGATACATCTCTTACAATCTTGCTTAGTTCCTCACAACCAAAAATAACCATAAATAATTCGTGTTTCTATTCTGCACTCGATCATTGAATATTCCATTATCACGAGACCAACATTACAATGGAATCACATTCTCATTCATTATATTTAATTTGATGGCTCAACTGTTCCTCCGTTTTGTAAACCGGCTTTTACCTCTAATGGCACCTGTTGTAATAAAATTTATTATATGAGAAATATGACACTAATGGACTGGTTTCCAGGGGCGTAGCCAGGGGGGGGGGGGGGCATACGAAAATCTGATAATTGTTTTATTAAGTATTTATAGAGAAGAACCAGTTAATGTAGAGGAAGTGATGAAAGAAATGTCAAAATCAGCACGAAAAATTAAATTTAATGTATAAATAATGGATTAAATATTTAAACTTATGAAGAATGAATATAGATTTAAGGATATAAAATAACGGTTTTTTAATTTTCGAAAATGGGCCCCCCTTAAAAAATTTTCTGTCTACGCCCCTGCTGGTTTCTATTGAAAGAAATTTAAGAGGTCGTTTGAATGTTATGTAGCATTGAATATGTCTGTATTTGGTTCCATATCTTACATCCTTTGTAACATGAAGACTTCAGTGGCATGTCACCAAATCTTCAATGAAGCGATTATTGTATAAAAATCATTAGCCTTAAATCTTTTATATCCCATCCCTAATTCTTATTGTCATTAGTGTCGACATAACATCCAATCAACCCCCAAACATGATACAGTTTAACGTTGGATTCTTTATTAGATTTCAATAGGAATCTAAAACCATTGTTGCGTGATAAATGTAATTTTAACAATTCATCGTTACCTGTTTCTTGAAGCAATCCTCAAAAAATAATGTCATTGAACGATAAAGATGAGTCTTTACACCCGATAGATTATGTCCTTCGTCAGGATAAATTTGTTGCTTGAAAAGAGCACCACGATGTGTAAGAGCTTTTGATAGAACCATACTTTGCATAAAATGAACATTATCGTCAGCTGTTCCATGTATCTAAATCGTATGAATAATAAATGAGAATCATATCATATTTGAGGATGAGATAAAATTACCAATAAGAATTGTTTGTCTTTCAATTGATCTACATGTTTTGATAAGTCTCCTTCAACATATCCTTGATAGTTATCAGTTAGGTTTGGCATTCCCATAAAACGCTCAGCATATGTTGAAACTATTGGATACAGAAATTTAAATTTTTTTTAACGATTTTTTGAAATTTGAATTATAACCGAATGTTGAATTTTCAAAAATTGCGGAATTGTAACGGATTTCAAATTTTTGAATTCAAAAACTGTCATTTTCTTCTAAATGTTTATGGTTCACACACATCATATCTCAAATTGCAATCTATATTTTTGAAACCTAATATTGTGGTTTCTCGACACAAAGGCTCATAAAGCCATAAACTTTTTTTCGTGCACAACCATCATTCCAAATGTCAATAAAGCAGCAAACATATATTTGACATCACTTACCATAAAGCTTCCAATTTGTTACCGGAGCAACAGAAATGCCACATTGAAAGAGTGACGATGTTGACAATGATAATGCCGAAACATATCCTCCAAAGCTCCATCCTAATGTTTTTATGTTGGTGACGGTGAAAATGAAGACAAATAATAAAATATTTTTTAATGGAATAAGACATAAAAGAAACTTTGTTAAGAAAATATTGGATGTGATGCCTCAATCCAAGTTACATAACCCAGAAATTTTTTTACGAGGCTACTCAGCAAACATTTTTTGCATCATTTTCCCAAAAGAATCATTTATAATCATCGACACAGCTGAAACTTAACCTACCCCAAATTCCCATTCGTTTTTTATCGACAAAATGTAATGTATCGCGCAAATATTCCGATACTTCCAACTGATCTGAAACTTCGACTGTCCCGAGGCGACGATAGACTTCATGTAATAATTGATATCCTTGACCAGATGAGCCACGTCCATCAATTTCGGTTACAATGTAGTCTTTCGTACCAGCTAAATATGTATTCCAATCCACACTCCATTTTTCGGTTACAAGTTGTGTTCCGGGGCCAGAATAGACATGAACGACCATTGGATATTTTGTTATTTCATCCTCTCGTAGACCTGGCGGTAAAAACATTCGAGCTTGTGCATGAAAACCACCTGAGATCATGACAGGAAACGTTCTTATTTGCGGCATTGCAATTTTGGATATGCGCTGTTTCAAATCTGTATTGTTTTGCAGCAGATAAATTGGACTAATCGGTTCCGTATCACTTTTAACATCAAATTTGTATATCCAACTTGTTGGTATATCCGGTCCTAAACATTCAATTAAGGCATATTCATTGTTATTGGGTGCAAAAATTGCATTGAAATATTGACATGCGATGTCATCACTCGTTGTTCCACCATATTGACCACTTATAGTTGCCAATGATATTTGATCGCCATTCTCCTCCTCACTTTCCCACGATACGCGTGACTTTGCTGCTGCATCTGTCATTCTCGTAAAGTCAACTTCCAATTCGGAACATGTGAGACATAATGGTGTTTTTAATGGAATGCCGACAGCTGGTGGAATGGAACTGACACGATAAAGATGACGATGTCCTGGGAAGTGCTCAGGTGTTGCCAAAAAGTATCTAATTTAAAAAATGATAATGACATGTTAATGATGTGAAAAAATGACTTTTAAATATTGGCTGATTGAAATTTCTATGGAGCAGTATGTGCTTAATAGATAGCCATTATTATAAATCCGACGACAATGTCAATGATAAACTTACACGTAGTTATTCATTTGATCCCAATGTATAATTCTATTGACATCATAACGTCCATGTGTTAAAGGTACGATTCTCTTTTTTGAGATTTGAACGTGTATTAAATGACGATAATGTCCTATTCATAAAAGTTAATGGATATATATACAGCAATAGAAAACTCAAATCGAATTTTTATTCATTACACATACCTGACGAACCTTCACGAACTGGTGATATTGCAATATATGTGCTGACATTTGTCGAGAAAAATGGAATTGATAATTCATCCACCCATCCTCTTCCATCACCACTTGTTTTATGTGTCTGTGTTGAGGATATGAGAGAGTCAAGTATTAAATAATTGGAATTATGATTTTAGAGCGAAACTTTGGTTTTGAAAAGAGTTTAGAGGCTCTCGGGTTTTGTGACAGTAAAAAATTGTGTACGACAACTTTTTTGAGGGAAGAAGTCTAAATATCCAGTTGTTGGACATCACAAGTAAATATTTTTCGAATATTATTAATTAATTATTTAACTTGACATTTTTTTTTCAATTATCGATTTATGTCTTTAAAGTTAAGTTTACTACCCGAATGGGTCAACAAATACATTCATTCATTGATGTTTTTCGAATGTTGATTAACCTTTAAGCTACACAAACAATTCAAAAGAACTAAACCAAAGCTTCCTTATCATTAATCTCCAACCTTTGTTAATGACAAACTCACTCTTGTTCCATAATCACACTATGACTTAATATTGATATCTTCAACTTAATCATTTACTCACCTCTTGACAATACCACATAGGTGACTTGCACAGTGTGACAACTGACAAATTTTGTGCTCGATTCATCCATACAACACTGACTTCTGTTTGGCTTACCCATGCTGCGCTTGCAAAGTAATGCTCTCTGTGTGACAACAATTTACATTCAAAATGTAAAAAAAAGGAAAAATTGGAGAGGAAGTTAGAAATGAGGAAGTGAGTTGAGACAAAATAAAGAAAATCGATAAATTCCCATGAGAATGACAAGCTGAATTTCATTCCTGCTATAAATTGTGTTTAAATATAACAGGCTTGTGCGATGATAACCTGCTACAACAAGCTAACGAGTTCAATCAACCGAAAAATGCAAAAAAAATCCTGATAAAATTCACACAAGCATAAACTAGTTCAACTCCTCCCATATAGATACGTAAATTGATTTATGCTTGATTGAAATTTCACATCCTATCATCATCCTCATGTGATGCATTCATACCTGTGATGCAATATTGGTGGCGGTGTTAAATCTCGTACACGTATGCTCTTAGGATCAGCTAAGTCTGCAACTTTCAACAATATCGTTGGATTGTAAATTGTTCCTGGCTTTGGATATCTGTTTGATAGGGATGAGATATGAGAAAGATTTATGAGAATCAACAAGATGTAAAGGGTATAAAATAAGAAAATTTGCTGTAAAGCTTCAAATTAAGTTCAATTGTAGTGAACAAGGAGAGAAGAAGATTTTTATATGTTTGCTCGTTTTTCCTTACAACCTGAAGAATTATGTGCTGCAAATTGTAGAGTGATAAAATGAATAAATGTAGGGGATTCTTTTTCTTCATGGATGTAGCTTTAAGAGAGAATTTTAGCATTATTTTTTTTTGTAAGAGAATTAGTGACTTAATCCTAAGTCGGAAAGTGCCTATTCTCTTAGGGTTTAATCCTGGGCTCAGTTCTTGCTGTTCCTAGATCACACAAACTTATATTTAACTTGAGCAGCATAACATAAATTGCCATACGAAGCTTTGAAGGTAAATAGAAGAATATACTTTAAGTTGAATATGTTGATGTCCCTAATTTTGCCTAGTGTAAATAAAGAAAATCATTTCTAAACAATCCCTAAATAACAGCGAGTCACCAGTTTCCAAATAATCGCTTCTTACACTCAAATTTCTAATTTCAATCATACTTCCTACAACAGAGAAAGATGAAAGATGTATAATGACAAAGTCAAGTAAGTAAGTGAGAAAAAATTGCCATTGAAAATGTAAGTCCCTGTAAAATGCATGCAATCTTACATATGCGAGATGTAAGGATGAAGATACTCATGCACGTTCATAAATAAAGATATGAGGATTACAAGTCAATTATATGCAAGAAAAATTTGTATGAATAATTTTAATGGAATGACGTAAAATGTGAAGTGAGGCAGGTTTATGACTCAGACAATGAATAATATTTGTCTTCTTAGTTTCTCAATTCTTCTTGTTTGCTTTTTAAAAATTCCATTTTCAAAGCTGCTTAATATCTTTACTTAACAATCCCTCAGACAATAATCCATCATCGTTTATGAGAGTCAATTCGAGAAAATGGATGAAAAAAGTTTAAAATACAGCACTCATTGCGACATTCAATTTTCATGAATAGCTCTCTTGAGGGATGAACAGAAACTCTTGTAAAAATACTCTCGAATGGCTTTACTTCTTTCCCTTAATAATCATTAAGAGTTCTTGTTTGAACTGCTAATCAATTGGTTTCTATGCGGTAATTTATAATGCTTACTATTTTACTTGCTGTGTGGTTGTCATTTGGAAGTTTTAACAAGCTTGTTGAGTTTTTGTGAAATGAAATAAGAGCAATAAGTTCTGCTCCCTAATGGAAAACTGAAAAGCTTATGAGATGAATTTTTATGAGCGGAAAGTAAGGAAGAAAGAATTGCTTACACATGATAAGGGGTCGTTCACTTATGACGTCCATCAAAAAACCTGATTTTTAGACCCCCCTCCCCCCTCTGTTACAAAAAATCTATAGAAAAAAATTTCCATTGTTTGAACTGTCACAAAGTCCTAGACCCCCCTCCCCCCTAAATGTCGGACGTCATAAGTGAACGGTCCCTAACACCTTGCTGTACTAATTGAATAGCTGATTTGTACACTTAATCTTATTTTCTAATTCAATTGCTTTATTATGAAAATTTAAGAATTGAATAATTTCTGAATTATCGATTTTTATAAACTTTAGTAAGTTTGCAGCTGTCAATGATAGTTTAGCTCTAAGAGAACAATTTGTGACAACCTTAATGTTTATTTCATTTTCCTATCAATTCCGAATGTTTTACAAAGATAAAAATATTTCAAATTTAAATCAAATTTCCAAAAATGCTTAACACATTCTTTCAAGTCTCAATTCCACTTAATTCTATTGGAAAAACATTATTTTATAAATGAACATAAAAAGAACCTTTAAAGAGATATTTAAAATAATTAATCAATTAATATTATCATAAACCTAAAACCCAACAGCATGTAAAATTCATAAACTATTATAAAGTTTATTTTAATTTCTATCAAAAACTTTTTTTTTTGGTGCTTATTAAAACAGTTTTAAAAACTTATCATATCATAACCGAAAACTATAACCTTAAACCTCCTCCTCATCATAAACTTTTCCTTTTTATATTAACTTTGTATTAATCCAACCATGAATTTCCATTGGCATAGTTCATATACCTTTTTTAGTGCTGTAAAGTTTCTCCATTCTTTGAATTTCGGAGCTTTTTAAGGTGTGAAAAATGTTTATCATCATTGTTGGCTGGATGATGATATATGTGATGCTAATTTTATCACCTAGCAAGTTTTGAAGCATGTAACCAATTTATCTATCGTTCATCTATTTTTAACAATTTTTTAATTGACAGAAACTCATCAAAATGTGTGAAAATTTCTCAATTTCTTCGTTCAATGAGCTTATTTTATATTTAGAGCTCTTTTAAATATAGTAGCTTATAGTTTAGAGTTTAAAACGAGTTTCAAATCGATTTGCTAGTTAAATGTGTCTAATTCTTACTTAGTTTAGTTGCTCAGCAATCGGTAATCAGTGCCCATTATAAAAGAAATTTGTATAATTTTAAGTAAAACTGACTTTAGCTCTTTTTGAACTTTAAAGGGTTCTTTAAAAATGATTTTCTTCAATAAATTGTATTTTAAGCCACTAATCAAACTAAGCGCATATTTTCAAGCAACATTAAAGCGCCAAAAAATCAATCCTTCATCAATCTGCAACTTCTGCAACTTCTGTACCTCCTTTTCCCTCAAAAGGTAGGAAAAAATATTTTTAAATTGCTGAATTCAAAGATAATGAAACTATTAAATTCGTTAAAATTTTCCTGTCATGCATATTAAAATAAAATGTTGACTCAAAAGTTTATCTTTCTCGGTTTTCTGTTGCTTCTTCCTTTTCATTCTGTCATTTATCTTCCTACTTTATGTGTTTTGTGTAAGTTTTTCCCTTCTCCCTCTCGTATCATAGGAAAAAAATTCATAGAATGAAGATTGCTGAGCTGTTGAGTTGCGAATGTATACTCACAAAAATTATCGAATTCACAATGTGGAAACGGAAGATGTCCTTGAAAATTTATCTTCTTTTGTTTGTGTTCTGTTGGGGACTGTTTTGATATTAAAAATATTTATGAACATTTTTGGAGTGAAATGTTTTATCCAGAGGGCGAAGTCGACTCGAAATTTGTATGAAGTCGAGTGAACTCAAGTCGACTTTTCCATACAAAATCCGAGTCGACTTCGCCCTCTGGTTTTATCTTGAGATGATAAAAGGCAGACATTTACGGCTGGTAAGGGGTCATTAACGAATGATGTCTATATGAAAGGATCATATGTAATGCAAAGACAGAGGCGTATGACCTGTGGGTTGCGAAACCAATGTTCCAAAATTGGAGAATAAACCCCTCATGTAAGCAACATTCATTTGTAGCTTTTACATTGTAAGTCATGGACGGGTAGTATCGGATCCCCGCTTTTGATGAACCTCATCTGTTTTTCATAAATAATATTAAATAAAAATCAATATTTCAATTCTCCTTTTAAACAAACTATTTATAGCTGCTAATCCAATTAAATCCCACACCACCTTCAGCATCTCAAATACTGCATGAAAAAATGGTAAAAACTCCACACAGATTTTTTTATAGAATTTTTCTTCCTCTAATTATTTCTCCATTATCGTTATATATCCAGAGTTTAATGAAATATCAGCACAGAAGCAGCATTGAGATTTATGTTCATTTGCATAGAAAATTTTTAATTGCAGTTTATGTTGAGAACTATGGAAATATAGTTGGGTTAAATATATAATATTATGATTGTTTTTATTGTTAATGGAAAGTGAAGAAAGTTTTTTTGTTTCCTTTATTTTGTGAATGTTGATTCTATTAAATTTATGGTTTGTGCTTTCGTGTAGAATATGGGGTAGAAATTATTATGATATAGTCCCAATTGGGCTGAGTAAAGCTTGTATTTCTCAGACTTCCTTACTTATAATTCCAAAAAATCTACATCTGAGCTTTAATAATAATAATAACGTGTAAAGGGCTTAGCATTTCAGCTGGAGGAACTGCGATTCAAATCAGAACAGAATCTATTGTACCATACCCTTTAGACCTACAGTTTATAGTGGGATCCGAACCACTTGCAAGCTCTGCACATTGCAAACATACGATTACGTCATAAGACCTGATATACCCTGCAATGTACCTAGTCACAATTTGTGTGCACAAGATGCCGTAAGGAAGTCATCCAGATGCTAGTATATCCTTGTATACCTAGCAAAGGAGGCACATTCTGTGCCAAAGACATCAATACTACACCCAACACACGAACCGAGCTTCGTAACTAGAACGGTGAAATGGAAAAAGAGTTTCGAAAATTAGACATGGCCTGGGATTGACCTGGACCTTTGTCATGGAAGGCCAACGCTCTACCATTTAGGTCTACTATTATCACACAGTCCTTGCCATTTCTTAAGCAAGTAGGGCTAGATCTGGTTAAAACCTTTGAGACTCACTCAGATTACTTCAAACCCTGTCAACCCACTTAATTGTTGAGTATTATTATTGATATATGACTATCAAGTCCTTAATATTTTTTATCTAACCTCGAAAATATCTACATAATTAATCAACGCACATTTTAGGTCCTCAACACATAAAAAATCATTCTATATCATTGCTACTCAGAATGTAAATGAGTGTCATATTCTGAAATATTATAATTTCAAGTGCACAGTCTTAAGCACTAAACTTCTCATTATTATTGCCACATGTTTATTCATGAATAGAACATAATATAAATCATAATAATGTTTATTCGGAAAATTTATGCAAAATATTTTACTAATAATAGATTTCCATAATTCAAGTCAATTAAGACTTAAGTGAGTGTATGTGATGAAAATATCAATATTTTATGCAAAACATTCATCGTCTCAGCACTTGATTTACTTCTGCAGATCATGAATGGGATTTTATAATTAATGCTGATTCAATTAGTTCGTTTTTCTAGCATTTGATTTGACTTTATGTGGGAATAAAATAATTCAATTAGGATTTAAGAATTCTTTTTTAATTAACGCCTGCACAATTTTATTTGAAAAAATTGCTTTGATTTTGCATCATTCTGGGGAAATTGAACTGGAAACTCAAAAGGCTTTGATGCAGTTTTTTATCGGATGAACAAATTGAATCAGTTTGGTTCGTTTGCTTGATTCATGTTGAATTAGTCATGAATTGATGTATTTTTTCTCGTCATGAATATTGAAATAAATAAAAGTGTTGTTGGGAATTAAAACTAGTTTGCAGGTTTGATTCAGTATTGATTCAAAACAGCTATGATTAAACGTTAGTTGATGAACTGGATCATTTAGTTTAGAGATCAGGATTAAGTGTGATTTAAGTATCCTTCATTAGATTTCACTGCAAACAATTAAGGGGGAGAAGAACTTGGTGAAAAAATTGTGCAACATTAATGTATAATTTTTCCATAACATTCTAACCAAGAGTTTTAAAAACAGGTTTAAAATGGTCCAAAAGTCATACATTAAGTTATTATCTCCCAAAAATAACACTGCAAACTTACTAAGTTTCAATTTATTCTTTTCATCATCAAATATTCTTTATAAAATCCATTTGATGGACTAATATTGATCTCAATGACCTTACTTTATATTCATCTTATTTTATTTTTATGATTTATGGAGCAGAAACAGATGAAAAATATCTCATTAGACATTTATGAGTCAGAGATTTATTTTTAACCCTCATAAATTATTAAAATGTCAATCTCGAAAACTAAATTGTAAAAACTTGATTGAATCCTTTTTGCTGGGGATTCTTACAAGTTTAACCTTTTTCTATTAGCAACGATATCAATTAATTATGCTCATTCATCTTGGTAAGGACTCAATTATTGTGATTAATAATTCTTTAACATCATTAATCAATTAATTATTTAGAATTTATTTGATTTTTATGAATTTTAATAATAAAGTTTTTAAATTTTTTTTGAAATTCAACTTTATATAAAGCTCTCTCAAAACATGTGCTTGTAACCTTTAATGAGTATGAATATTGATTGATTGTGAGCTTTTTTTAAAGCTTTTTCCCATTACGATACTTATTCACATTAATGGCTTCTGCTACACGCGAATAAAATTATGTATGTAAACAAAAAAGTAACATGTATGATGGATCGTTCAATTAAAGAAAAACTGTGCATGTTGAACAAAACGACGGAATTAAATTTATGGTAAGAAGCTTTGTACTTAGTAGTTATAAATAGGGTTTTAAATACAGGACCTGATTTTCAATACCGGTATTAAATTTTCAAAAATTTTTTTTTGTAGATCTTATCAAGATATCATTAAAGTTGTGTATGATGTTACAGGGGTCTGCACTTAATAATAAGTGACTAGTTTTGAGCAGGTTTTGAAGATAATTTAAACTTATTTTTTTCTTTTGCTTGTGCTTAAGCCTGTAACTTTCATAGTAAAAGTTTTTGAAACTTGAAATTAAATTAATTCATTTCGATGGAACATATTTGGTCACTGCTGTTGTATAGATAATTCATCGACCACCAGATTTGCACTTAACAAGTTTAAGTTTACATTATGCCATGCTTTAATGAAACTCAAAAAAACTGAGTGATAAGATAGATTCCAGATACGGTTTACCAGATAAGGTTTGACTCAAAAATGTAGAAGCGTATGTTCGATTCTCACTTGAGAAAATTTGTTTACAGCATATGAATTTAACCTCCAAAATTATGCCATTAAAAAAATTCAAAGTCTTCATGTTGCTGCCCAAAATACAATCAACAATGCCAATTTTAATCATCCATTCCTCTTCAATTTCCACTCTATGTCTACACCAATAAAACCACATCCTCTTATTTGCAATACAAATTATTTATCATACAATTTCGAATTCTAAAATAAACTCAAACAAATTCACAAAATTCAATTGTTTGACAAACCGAAAAATTTATGTATTCATGTCAAATACCATTTGAGGTCAAAGTGTTGTGTTTCTATTGATTATGAATTCATTTTCTGGCATGGCAAGATGAAGCAATGGAAATTGCAATTTTTTTGGTATTTGTATTGTTGCTGAATATTGTTTCACTTATCGATGTGATTTGCATAAAAAAGAGAGTGTTCAATCTGAACAGAAGCGAGAAAGGCAACACGTCTGTGTGCGTGATTTATATTGAATACAAGGTAAACAAAGCAGCTTCTTCTTGTGTATTGATTCGAGCAAGTTTCGATTAGATTCGGATTCAATTTCAGCAGAAAAGTGCCCTCAAATCAGCTTAGATTCACACGTTTGTTTTACACACGTTAATCGATTTTGAAACCGAAATTCACATGCTGGCGCTAGAATGGAATGGACTCTTTACGAAGTTTTTTTTTTGTGAAGACACGAACAGAATCAAATGACACTTATTAAAGTCACCCAGCCTGGAAAGGACGTTGAAATCAAACTTAACTTTAAAGCTAATGAAGTGCTTTATAAACACGATCTAAAAGCTAGTTTAATTCCTAATTGCGAATTTAAGCTGAATTGAGCCAGAATTCAGCGCCAATCCGGTGAAACTTAATTTTTTTAAACATTTTTGGTGATATGTGCTATACAAGTTCCTGGCATATGCAAATCAACGGCTTCTTTTTGTGAGTTTTGTTACCGAAATAAAATCAAATTTCCACATCAAGGAACACTATAACAACAAGCACAGAATGTCTACCGAAAATGTTGTTTGATTATTCATTGAATATCGATTGACGTGAATTTCTTGTTCGTCTATCACGCCAATTTTCATTGAATACTGTAACAATACGCACGCACATGCGAGTACATGACGCGTAAACCTTCTATCCAATTACACATATTTTGTAAACTGAAACTTCACGCTGAGATATTTGTTCCTTCCAGTTCAACACTTGCAAACTTTTTTTTTACATACACAAGACGACGGAAGCAATGGAAAATTTTCATTTGGGAATTAACGAGGCATGATGAGCGAGAAAAATAAAATTTTTATTAAAGACACGAGCATGTAAGCATCGATGAATTTCCGAGAGCACCCTGCTAATTTTTCAATTTTCATCACCCAAGCAAGTCTCAATACAAACATGCGCTCGGCATTTAGCAATTATTCTTAAAATAAAGTCGTGCCAAGCACAAATTAATTTTCTCTCTAAGGCAAAAAGTTTCGTTTTACAGGCAAAAACAAGCACAAGATTGAAGTTTTTTTCCCCTTGGATGTCGATAAAAAATGAAAAAGTTCTCCGGTCTCTCGGTGGAATCGGATGGGAAATGAGTTTGAAATGCTCATGTAAACAGAGAATTAATGCTTGCTTGACCAACATGGCTTTTTGTACAGCTGAATGCTTCAAAAAACTGTGAATGGGATTTGGGATTTAATTGAGCAGGACGAGATTGAGTTTCGGGAATCTAGAAAAATCGAATATGGATGTGATTTAGAAGCAGCAAGTCACATTCTTCAAGAAGTATTAAGATAGCTTGTGAAGCAATTCAACGTTTCTGACTACAGGGTATCAACAATATTTAAAGATTGTGAGCATTGATTGCCTCCAGGAACTTAGCAGTATATCGTAGAACAAAGCATAGAAGTAAGGATAGATTTAAAGGGAGGGAGGTTTGTAATTCCTCAACACTCCACTTTAAACTTCCAACATCTTAAAATACAAAGGATTCAAGAATCTACAACTTCCTGAACTCAAGCATTGAAACACAAAAATGACAGAATCAGGACACAAAGACGAGCAAATTGTCACGGTTCCACATAAATTTTCAGTAAAAAAGTGCATTAAAAATTTCCTGATTTTCTCACTTCTTTGAATCTCATAAGTTATTCATTGGATAAAATTGCAACACTCCATCGTCAAGATGGAAGCTAAAGGAAGGAACATTTTTTTTTTTTGCTCACTGGATGTGAAAAGTACGAGAATGTAATTAATGAATAAAAGATAAGCAAACTGCAAGCCATAAAATTTCACTCTCTCTCTTGTTACGAATAAAAATGAATGAATTTTACCTCAACGATCTAATTTCCGGATACAGATTAATATTTCCGTTATCATTTGTTGATCCATACCAAGGGAATTTTTGTTCCATAACATTTGTATCATTAAACACACCGTAAAGCATTAGATGACCATCATTTGACATCCAGATCGCTGTGTTGCTGTTGAGGAGTTCCTCTGGAATTAGTAAAATTAAGAAGAAATTCAATTGGTTGGTAAACTTGATAATTATTTTTGAAATAAGGAAAAAAACGTTATAAATTTGAATTTTTTGAAAAATTCATCCGTTAAAATTTGAATTAATTTTAAAATTGAATTGAGTAATGTGATTTAATTCAAATTCAGAAAACCCGTTAAGTTTCACATTATGCGAATTATTTGTAATCAAAAATCCCAAACCTTGCTAATCAGTCACAATACAATTCACAGTAAAATCCCCTTCATCACATCAAATTTACAAAAAATTTAAATTAAATTCATAAATGTGGCACATCCAATATCAATGCATTCATTAATACAAAAATTTAATCATTCAAAAAATAATAATGGCTGATCTTTTTGTATCATTCAACAGATAATATGCAGTTTAACAGGATAATCTTTTAACAATTTAAAATTTTTATGATATTTCATGACTGCCATTTCTGATAATTTATTCCCCTTGTGCATGACCATCGCTATAAATGTTGTTGCTTTATTGCTCTTTTTACGATTCGCCAATTATGAAAGCTTCCGTAATTGTTGTGCTTTTGTGAAAATATAAATATTTTTTTAGGTAGAAAACTTTTTTGTCGTGCTTTAAACGACAATGAAAGATAAAGTGCTATAGTTTGCAGGTATAGTTCAGATTTTTATGGAAGCTTTGGGAATATTTGAGATCATGTTTATTTAAATATCATAGTCATTCTTATATGATGTTAATAGAATCGGACCTTCCAACTTCCTGTTTAAAATATTAATAGAGGTGTTGTGCCAAAGAATGACTAGTTTAAGTTCCCAAAACTATTGCACAATTTGCCATAAAATTCAATAAATAGATAGCTCCAATATCAGGTCCAACATAAGGAAGTGATTCAGACTACTTCATTGCTTTATCTCAAGCCCTAATTGCTTCACTTTTGACATTGAATATTCCTCAAAATTTTAAGCCATACCAAAAAAAAATCAAAAAAGCCACTCACTTGCCACAAAATATACCAAAAATTCTTCAAACACAATGAAATCTTTCGGTTCCTTTGTTTGTGCAAATGAAAGCTCCCAAAAGTATCATTTTTGTTGATATTACACATGACATACATTAAATGTCATGTGACAATAAAGGAATATCGTACAAAAGAGAATCTATTTTTAAATAAAGAAAACAATAAGAGCGGAATGAAGGTATTTATTTGGTAGAATATTTGTGTATGTATGCATGGGTTTGGTATGATATTAAATAAATTTTGTGGCTTCTTTGAAAAGATTTTTTTTTTGAAGGATGTTTAATATGACATTTGTGAACGAGCTAAAGAAAGTAAGCGAGATAAGACATAAGCTCATGTTATATAAATAATTTAAGGTACATGGATGTTTATGGGTTCTTAGAATTTAATTTGTATGGACGTGGCTACAAATATTCAACGAAAAAACTATTTTATAATTTTTCCTTAATTCACTTCATGGCTTTAAGACTGATACAAGAACCCGAAATCTTTCAAAAACACACATTTTTTTAGAATCTGTCTAATTAATCCCCCACACACAAACATACTTCACTTCTTACTTAAAAATAAACTTTTTGTCTTTGTGTGGGATCATGTCACTTCCAATTTTCCATACACAAAATAACAAAACTTTTTCCTTTTGTTCACATTATGATGTGTTATTAGAGCACATAAAAAAAATTACCAAAAAAAGACATGGAAGCAACATGCAAGGAAACAATTTATCATTAAATTGCGTGCATGAAGCACACAAAACTGTCAGATTTCTCATTGTTCAGACGTAAAATTGCAATAATAATGACTGAGCATCTCTCAAATGAGATTGAGCACTTAATTGTGTGAAAAACTTTTTTTTTTCTGTGTGTGGCTTTCGTGGCGAATAGACGTGCTTTATGGGAGGCTTATTGTTTTATTTTGGTCCCATAAATTGTCAATAAACATGTTGATTGGAAATGAATGATTAATTCGAATGCAATTAATGATGACAATAACATGACCAAAAGCATTATGCCAATTATACGATAATGAGATGATTGGTTTTGCTGCAGCCGTGAAGTTTGGTCATAAATTTTGTGAAACGAGTTTTTTTTTCTTCTGTTATGTGTGCATGATTGTTTATGTTGTTTCTGGAGCTTCATTCGAGTTTTATTGCCTGAGGTGGTCTGCAGAATTATTAACATCATGAAGTTGGAACTCACATCTGAGAATGTTTTGTATTTTTTCAGATTTTTTAAAATCAGTGTTGAGTTACATCAGACAATATTTACCTCCTGGCCTGATTCACAAGCAAATTGTAGCATCAATGATGTATTAATCAAGTGAGAGGGAAGTTTTCTGTACCCATGGATAGACATATGCTGAAAATTTGGCATCTTGCAACTACACGTGCTGAATTAACAACTGTGCATGAACTTTGTAAACTTGACACAAATGTCACTTACGGAAATAAAGTGTTTGACCACAATAAACTTACACACTCCTGCTGAATACGCACTTTAATCAATACAAATGTTAATTACGTTATTTCAGTGTTAAAACTCGATCCCCCACTTGCCATGCGATTACATGGTCGAATAAATCTTAAGCTATTTTCAATAAACCTCTAAAATTACAGCAGTTTTAATAATTTATACTAACCTTCGTATAACCAATCAGGTACTCCATTATAAATGGTGCCAGGCACACCTGTTTTCGTTATTCTATATGATTGTGCTGACTTTGGTCCTGTTTTATAGTATATGTCATAATTATACACCATAACCAGCGAATGTCCACGCGGTGTGAATTGTGCATGCAATAGAAATGGCCATTCATCCTCACTCTTTGGCGTTAAGCTTATCGATTCGCTATGAATAGACGAAATTAAAATCATTGCTTTAGATTAAAATTATATGGTTTGAATATAATGGGCGGAATAGATGGTAATGAAATTTATGAGTTCTGGTACAACTTAATAAATTAATGAATAAAATTTTCGAGAATTTCTTCTTACCTTGCCTGTATATCATAAACTGTATATTGTGCTAAATATGAATGACGGAAAATTTTTTGTACATTTTGTGCCAGCAGCAAGTATTTCTTGTCGGCTGATAATGAGAACTTTGCTGGCGCTAAATTTTTCTATGAAAACAAAGAAGACAAAAGAAAAGTTAAGATGAAAAGCTTTATTCCATTCACTGTCTAAACTTTTTTTTGTATACAATATATATTTTTTTTTTTATTGAAGAGTCTATTCAGTCATTCAAACTTTTTATTTTTCACTCGCACTAGCTCGCATTTTGTTCCTTAAACACGCGACAATGACGACAACATAACAAGAATATAAAGCCAAAAAGAGAATAATAATAATGATGATGCTTCTTCAAGCGGAATATAAAGCAATGGCGTAAGAGAATAATAAGAGTAAGTTGGCGGAAAGTCATTGAAAATATAATGGAAGTGACGAACTTCTGTAGAAAATTGCAAAGAGGTCTTATTGAGATAATAAAAGTATTTACTTTTTTTTGCAGAGAAATGTTGAATATAAATCGTTAATTTGCTGTTGAGATTCCGCCATTTTATTTTCTTCCATTTCAAAAAGTTTTTTGTGAAATTTTGCTTACTAAGTGGTAGATATTTTAAGGATCTAAAGTGTAAATGATGTAAAATGATGGCATAACATTATCAAAAAAGATTGGAAGTGAACATGAGAAGACATTAAGGAAATATTCATTATTTTCCAATCTTTTGCTTATGTCCACCATTTTGTTTTTCTTTAAAAACACGAAATATATCAAATTCCATATCACATTCTTAGTATTCAAAGACACGCCAATCGTAATCTGATCAAACAAACCAAAAGCCTTTTTACCTCCAATTTAAAATCATTTTCTCAGTCCTTCCAAGTATTCAAAAGCCTATTTCTTCTAAGAAGGACAAAATGACTAAAAAGAAGTCTTTCACCTACTCGAAATTTCCATAGAAACGAGATGAAGAAACATTGTTTGTAAGCAAGACGGACAGCATCATTAGAGGTTCTTTTTAGCAGAACAAATGCAGAAGAATTCATTGTTTTCACATTCAAAGAAAAGTTTCATAGTGGGTAGAAAGTTTTCAAATGAAATTTTAATGCTTTCATTTACTTTCCTCTTCCGATAAATATTTTGTCATTTTCTTGCTTTGCCGCTAATAAAAATAAGCCGGGCTTCAAAAAGAACAGAGATAACAATTTATTCCGTCTCTAAAAATAAAAATATTTGATTTGTTGACGACTTTGTGAAAAAATCTGATGCGTCAATAATTTAATTTTCTCTGGTGTTTTTATTGTGATTTATGAATTATTTTCCAACATTTTCATAAAAGTTCCATTATGTCTTGGGGGGAGACGACAATAATAAAATTGAATTTTTTTGCTAAAATTCTCAAAAATGGGGAGAGTCAGCAATGAATACCGACTTGCTATGAAATTCGATTGTCAATGACTTCCTTAATAATTTCTGTTTTTTTTTGAGTCTCTTACCACTCGTTTTGTGAGAAATGAGTTACGATAATGATTTTTTAAAGGGTCGTTCATAAATGACGTTCTTGATTTTAAGTTGAAAATGAATTTTTTCACTTTCAAAAAAAAGTTTCATAGTTTTATCCTTATGGATCCCATCCCCTTCACCTCTGTTATTGGACGTCATAAGCGCACAACCCAATAAGCACCAAGTCATAAGATATTGCCATTTGGAGAATAGAAATACCAAATGGAAGCGACAGAAACTTTTTTTTTCTTCTTCTCTTTCCACCTCACTTCATTGATGGCAATAAATTTGATGATAATAAAAATTAAGGAAAAGTGCTTAAAATATCTCCAGTAAAGTGATTTTGTGTAATGACTCTTAATTTTGTTGAAAATCATCATTAATATTACTTGATTTCGGCAGTTCTTTTTATGATAAATTGAATTAAATAACAAGTGTCGCTCGATTGTCGTCATTAATAAAAGTTAGAGTTGTTATCTTCAATATTTTTGTGCTTTTCTATTGATGCCAATTATGATTAATGATAGAGAAAAAAGGATGTCATTTAAAGGTAGAATGAGAAATTGAAAAGGAAATATGTCCCGGAAGATAACCGTTTTGAGTGGTTGAGATGCTTATTTCCGGTATGAATAAAGTCAGCAATTATTTGTGAAAATTGAATCAAAACATCGATTCCTCAAGTTCTAGTTTGCAGATGATGTCAATCACTCGAAGATTACCAGATGCTTTCTTATCGCCTCCAGCTCAACAGAGTCTAGGACATTACACGTCTCGTTCACAAATTATTCAAACTTATTCATTCATAAAATTCAAAAATTCAGTCAACAACACTTCAATCATACAAATCATCAAGTCCAAAAAAAAAATACATGTTGTCCAGAAAAATTGGAACCACCAAAATAAAATAAATGAATAGGTATAATGATACTCACATAAGTTGTATTCGACATTAATATCCGCTCAGATAAATTTCCAACACTCAATAAAGCTACTTCGCCCCATTGATTCTGATATAGAAACTCTTCAGCTGTAAATAGCCAATCGTTACGTACAACTCAATTCTTTTATTGTTGGTTCCTTGAGTGGATTTTGTGAGAATATTTCTCAGAAATCTTAAAAGTCAGGCAACAACATGGAATGGGAAAAACTTTTGAAATGAAATTTCCTCCAAGTTGATTCTTCCTGATGTAAAATATTACAAGATGACGCAAATCTTGCACAAAATCCACTCAAGGGATGCGATTCGTCCACCATCAAAATATTTTCATACTTACGATTTATCCAGCATCCATTATTGCTAGTTAATGGATTATAAGCACCATCAATGATGTCCTGAAGTTTTATACGCTGACCTTTTATGCGTGGTCCTTGTTCTGGTGGAGTGAGCAGCACCTGAAAGTAATAATGATGATAATGCTTAAAGAACGATCAAATCAAGTATGCACACAGAATAGCCATATTGCAAATTTCCATCGTCAAATGATTCCAGCACTCATCTGTTCATTGTGACGCTTTAACCTCATGAATTTTTTAAGTTTATATTTCCCGAGAAATTTCTACCGCTTTTAGAACCATTTGTGGTCGTTATGCTAAGTAGAACTTTTCCACTCATGGATTTTTTATGCATATTTAATGCTGAGGATAGACAGATTATCTTTGGGATTCTAAATTGACTCTCAAATGTGGATGCAAGTTTAAATTCATTCCGAAAAATCACAGTCAAGTCCAACAATCAACAAGCATTAAGACGTAGAGGCTTTGCCTTATTCTCATCCAATCACAAAAATTTCATTTCATTATCAGAGTTTCTAATGCCTTATGCTGCCATCCATGAAATTTTTATATGCCACGCAACAGACTTAAAAACGGAGAAAAAGTAGGAAACGATGAAAAAACAAAAGAGATGAAGACGGTAAAAAGAGAACTCGTGGCCCATAAAATTGTAAGTGTTAATGCTCCCGCAAAAAAAGGACAAAGAAAGAAATGCGATTTCTTATGGATTAGGATGATGGCGATGATAATGCTGAAAAATACGTAAAGACCAATGAATGAAGACATGAAGATTCTGTTGGATTTCTCTTAAATGACGATTATCAGAAGATTTTGTAAAGTGTCAAATAGCTTCAGAGTGTCACCTAGCTGTTGTCCCCTTGCACTTACATAAAACATTAATGTCTAAAAATGGACACGACCGTTGGCAATTGAATTTAAAAATACTTTTAATTCAGAACGTCTGAATGGACATGTAGAAATGTGAAGTATTCAGCTACGCCTTATTCATGTTCACCAATTTTTACACACCGAAAAAAAAAATTCACTTGCTACTCACAAGCTCATGACAATTGCCTTAAATCATTCATCATCATTTCTGACTGAATTATTTCGAATGAGACATTTGCTGAGTAAGAAATTATGTTAAGGGTGGAGTTTGTGTAGGAACAAAGGAACATCACAGCTCGTCTCACATGCTGTTTATGTCATTTACATTTTTTATTAAACATACTTTTTTGTGTGCTGTCTTGTTTTCCTGTTCGAAATGATTTTTTTATGTACATCCAAAAAAGAGACAGTGTCGTGTATGTTTCATGTATTTATTAGGAAAAAGGATGTGAGATAAAATGGCTATGTTGTGGGTTAAATCTGTGCCAGAATTCCCTCATGTGAGATTATTATGAGCTTGGATATTACAGTTCATAGATAGGACTAGATTAAATGTTTATGTTGATGATGATTTCTTTAAAAATTGTCGATCATTGAAAAATTAAGCAATGACATAGCAACTTGTGGATACACTGACTCTTAAACGGAGGATGAAAAGCTCTCAAAAGGGGTATGCAGGTCTTAAAAGATGGAAGGGGGTATACTTCTTTCAAAAAAGCACACAGCTCTTAACAAGGTGGATCCTGCTATTATGCGAAGAAGCTTGAACTATCGATATCTCTAAATTAGACCAACATCACTACTGCCAGGAGCATAGCAATTTTTTTTAAAAAACATTATCTCTTGATTGAAATTAATGTTTATAAACTTAAAAATGTTACTCTACATGTCAGTGAATGTACACAAAAACAGCATGACAACCCAGGAAATGTTCCCACACTCATCTGCAAAAGCACATTAAACTTCATCATTTTCCGCCTACACTGTAACTTTAATTTACTTTTTATGCGACATAAATTTACAGATTTTTTTCAGGTTCTCTGTATGAATATTTGTATAATTTATGAAAGCTTTAAGGAACGAAAATTGATCTTTTTTCCCTTTTTTGTACGAAAGAATGGCTCCATTTTTATCATGTAATTTATATTACACGACGAATAAAAAAACTTGTATACAATTTGAAACATGGGTGGAAGAAGGAACAAAAATGTTCAATAAGACAGAGAAAAGTTTTTTCAAGAATGGGTGAGGTGGATGAAGGACTGTGACGCATTGTTATTGGATATATTGTCGTGATTTGCCTTTATTAATTAGGTTTTAACCTGAGACTTACTTCAAGAACACAGCCCCCTATATAGCGCCTATAAAAAGTAATGACATCAACAACGATTGGTTTTCGATCCTCTTAGGTCTTGACTTGAAGGTATACTCTGATGAGCTTTTAATCCTAAAATTCTTACTCATCACAACATACTTTAGAATATAAATTCAGTTAAGTATTAAGACGTCTTTAAGAATTGTATTTAAACAAAACAACAGGCAGACAAACAGACAGACAACAATCAAAAGTAACCATCCCTCTTAAAAATCACAACTTCAAGTGAAATGAAAATGTACAAAAAATGTTTTCCTCTCTTTCTGAGTTTTTTTAAAACAAGAAAAGGAATGTTCACGGCTTCTAATAAATTATATCTGACAAGCATTTCAAATTCATTTCAATTTCACCTGAGCGAGATTTCGGGAAATAAATGGAAAAATGAAATTTTTCCCTGTCTTTATTTTACAGCTGGAACGTCTTGTTGGTTTGTATGACACAAATGCTTTTCTTTATCTTTACATACAAATTCTATTGCTGTTCCGCCTGTTGATTTCCTTCTTTCTCTCATTTTTTATTGAAATTATTTTATGAGTGATTTGCTGTCAGATGAAAAATATGGAAGCGACGTATGAATAGGAAAGATTAAACGTCAAAATAATTTCTTGATGGATTTTTCAAATTTTTTTTATTCATTCGTAAGATGTGAAATAAATTGAGATTTAAGATGTCATGACAGATGGATTTGTGTTCCAATGACAATTTGCCGATTTTTCAAGGATATTCTCACCTTTTTTTTGGTGATTTTTATATTGAATTTATGTTGTTTCTAAGAAAAATAATTGTAGAGGATCGGTAGGCACTAGCTATTTAAAGGTTCAGTTTCTAAATATTGAAAAAGTAATCAGACATTCTTGGGTTTGATTCTTAGCATCAAAATTTGTTACTTTTTTTAACAAAATTTACTTTAAATGAAGTTCGGAGTATATTTGCTATAGATGAAAATATCACAAAATTACATCTAATGAATGGCATTTGTAGATCTCACAAGTAGGTTTCGCAGGGAGGTAACCTGAAAGTATTATTTTGTCACATAAACTAAGGTGGTTAAAGAACATCAATAAAAGGTAAGGGGTTTAAGCATAAAGACACCGATACCTACTACCATTGCCGCTGACTTGCAGATGCTTCAGTGCTATTTGAACGTAATTAAATGTACATCCAAAGAGATGGAGTTTTTTAAAATTAATATTCCGAATAAAATCACTGCCAGGGACGGCTCACCTGTTTTACTCAATCAATTATACAAAAACCTTTGGAATTTCAACAAGTCAAACTTCCCAAACGAAACCGCCAGCTTTAAAATCATCTACAAATCATAAATTTAAAATCTTACCAAAAAAAAGCTTCTTAAGAAAGTTTAATTCAAGAGTGTGGAACTGAAGAATTACATTTTGATCATTTTTGATCATTTTTTGATCACTTTTGATCATTTCATCAGTACCACACCCTTGATTTAATCAGAATCCACTAAAAATTTCATTTCTTTCCGACCGACTGAATGAGAAAATTTAATTTTCCTCGAAATTTTTCAATGCCACTTTTTACTGTATAAATATTTCCTCGTCAGCACAGATTCGTTGAAAGCATTTCTCAAAAATGTATAAAAAATTTTATTCAGTCAGACGAAAATTTAAATAATAACATGAAACATTTCATTTTGTTAAAAGCTTTCGAATTATACCTACAATGTTAGCAGCACTATAGCTCTACAATGTAATTCATTATATTCCAAAGAAGCTTGGATGCTTGCAGGCAGGCATTCAATTTATTTAAATTAAAGCTATACCTTATGATATTTTCTCTCGGGAGCTTCTACAAACAATAATGTGGTATGAACAATTACATGCTGTAAACTGTCATGAACAATGTTTACAGTAGATTAAAAATAGGTAGTAAGGCATATGTGAGTATGTAATGGCAGTCATGTGAAAGGTAGTGAATTTTTATGTAGTTCCCGATAATTTTAAATACTTTAAAGGAGCTTATGCATAGCACAGGCGCCAAAAGAGTATGCTCCTGCCAAAAATATTGTCTATGCTTCTTTTGGAACAGAACATCAAGAAGTTTAAGCAGACAATATGTCTCAGGTTATGTAAATGTATAATTATTTGAATCTTACAATAGCAATTATTGTTGCAGCCTTACAATTTTCCAAGACAATTTCAAACCATTATAAATATGCTGACAATCGTCTTAGTCAACATATTCACAACATCCAACAGTAATTACATTCTATCATCCCCCCAGAGGTCATGCAACACCCTTTGACTCAATACTTCTGATTTTCAGATTTCATGTAATCTCATCAGCATCATTATATTCACATAATTTAGGCTATTATAATCATCATGTTGATGTGTCACAGACCAAGACAACAAACATGCCCTAAAGTCAAAAATTCATTCAATACGAGTTTGTGTTATGATACATCCGACGATCATTTACACTTTGTAATCAAATCATCAACAATATGTCATTAACTAAATTGAATTGACGTCGTAAATTGAACGACAATAGAAAATAGTAAATCGTAAATAGAAGCAATAAAGGGTGACTAAAAAAGAAGGATTCGAATTAATTGCCATGTAGCCACAAGCTCGTTTTTATCGTATGTTTTCGTAATGCGGATTATAAGAGTTTACATCCCGTGTGTCGTTGTAAAGTAAAGCTTCTGCAATAAAATCTCATCAGGAGATTTTTTCAATTACTGTAAGTGAGCTGGATTCAAGCTTTTACAGTTAATAGAGAATTTAAACTTTTTATTTGCCACAATTTTCCCCTCAACGTTATTTATGGCTGTAAAAACAATTTATTCTTTCGAACGCTTGCATGATAATTGACTATTTATGTCAAAAAGGATTGCAGAACGCTGCAAATAAAGTTTATTTGATTTAGAAAGTGATGCGGTAGCAACTGGATTTGTGCTTATGATCAACAGAATGGCTTGGTTGTAGATTAGTCTTGTGAAAGTCTTTCAACACTATTGTAAGATGTCTATCCCTAACAGACAAGTGAGTATACTCATGGTACCGTAACATACTCAAGAGTATGTTCAGAATATATGAGTATTCTCGTTTGTCTGTTAGGATATTTATCATGTCCAGGGTGGGTGATTTAAATCAAAAATCAAAATCAAAATCTTTTTGCAATGATTTTAAAAAGGGATTTTGATTTAAATCATTTTACCCAAGTGATTTTTTTCTCGATTTTGATTTAAATCATTTTTGCAAAGGGATTTTTTTTGGGATTTTGATTTAAATCATTTTTGCACAGGGATTTTTTTTGGGATTTTGATTTAAATCTTTTGTATGAAAGATTTTTTTTGGGATTTTAAAATCCCTCCATACAAAAATTTTGTATGCAATTTCTCAAATTATTTTCAAATCAACAGTTTTCAGTTGCAGTTCCTCATAAATAAGAATGTAGTTGATCCTTTTTCGGCCAGAATCTTGCAACTGGATCTTTTAGATCCAATCATATCTTTAATAAAGGTTACAGCAACCAATGGTTCCATGCTGTTTGACTTATACGAAATCAAATTCATGATTTTTAATCTTCTGTCCCTTGCTGCTTAAATTTAAATAACTTGACTTCATCAAGCATGCCTGGATCTTACTGCGTACGAGGAACTACCTGCTTTCAATGCTTCCAAAATCATAAATGTCTTTTATTACAGTACCAAAGTAGTCTACGTTTGTTTAATAAGTCATAAGCAAGAATAGGCACTTGAACTGCCTAGTTCCTTTACATCCACAAAAATTTTTTTTTGTTGCTTTTTCATCAAGGAATCACCTCTTGAAGTCAAAAAATTTTTTTGCGGAACTAATCGGTTCCTTTCGTACCTAATGATCAAATATGACTGAAAATTATGCTTTATATTTATATGATTAGATAAACATACTTTGCAGGCATCAGGTACGAAAGGAACCGATTAGTTCCGCAAAATTTTTTTGACTTCAAGAGGTGATTCCTTGATGAAAAAGCAACAAAAAAATTTTTTGTGGATGTAAAGGAACTAGGCAGTTCAAGTGCCTATTCTTGCTTATGACTTATTAAACAAACGTAGACTACTTTGGTACTGTAATAAAAGACATTTATGATTTTGGAAGCATTGAAAGCAGGTAGTTCCTCGTACGCAGTAAGATCCAGGCATGCTTGATGAAGTCAAGTTATTTAAATTTAAGCAGCAAGGGACAGAAGATTAAAAATCATGAATTTGATTTCGTATAAGTCAAACAGCATGGAACCATTGGTTGCTGTAACCTTTATTAAAGATATGATTGGATCTAAAAGATCCAGTTGCAAGATTCTGTCCGAAAAAGGATCAACTGCATTCTTACTTACGAGGAACTGCAACTGAAAACTGTTGATTTGAAAATAATTTGAGAAATTGCATACAAAATTTTTGTATGGAGGGATTTTAAAATCCCAAAAAAAATCTTTCATACAAAAGATTTAAATCAAAATCCCCAAAAAAAAAACCCCCTTGAAAAATGATTTAAATCAAAATCCCAAAAAAAATCCCTGTGCAAAAATGATTTAAATCAAAATCCCAAAAAAAATCCCTTTGCAAAAATGATTTAAATCAAAATCGAGAAAAAAATCACTTGGGTAAAATGATTTAAATCAAAATCCCTTTTTAAAATCATTTTTCATTGAGATTTAAATCAAAATCAAAAATAAATTCTGCGATTTTGATTTAAATCGCAAAAAATCTCCCCACCCTGATCATGTCTTTTATTTAAGAAAAGTGGAAGGAGCTAGGATTTTTTAAAATTGGTATTAAGAATTGGGAAAGCTGGGTTTAACTCATGGCTATATTTGAATCAATATTCAACAGCTTTAAGCTTGAAGAATTTACTTCACCGCTTTAAAAAAATCATCAAGCAGCATCAACAGAAATTAAATCTAATTACCTCAACATGAACATATAAAGTACAATTTCAGTAATCTGAAGCTTCTCAAGCTTCTTATCATCTAAGCATCTCCTCTTACTTGTTCTTTTTTCTTCTCGAGAATGCACTTGATTACCTTTTAAAGTCAGTTTCAGATTTCACAATCTTCCCATCTTATTCTCATTTCTTTTCATTCTTCTAGCTTTTTTTGTGTTCTATTGCAATATTGATCCTTATATAGCAATCTTGTTTCATTGTTTGTAAGGATTGAGGAAATTGAATTGAGATAAAAATGGAATATCAGCAATACAGGAAGGAACATGAGGATATAAGGGGTGGGAAGCACTTGAAAACTTTTCAAGGAGTGATTATGAGTTCTTTGATGATACTAGAACCTAATAGCTTTATTATTTTTATTAATTGATCCTGCATTGGACTCGAATTCACATCTTACAAGTTTTTATCTTATGCTCTTAGGTTTGTGGATTTTGATATATGAGTCAATATGTGAAATTAGATAGGAATCGAAAAAAATTAAAATAGAGTGTCCATCCCTTGATAAATCAGCTTTAAAAATTGATTCTTAAGGAATTTCTTTTAGCCTGTATTCTGC